AGTAAAAATTCTTTGAATACGTACATGCTTAAACATTTACTACGATAAGACGATTTGGAACATCAAAAAAGAAAGAGATGGCATTATATAGCTCACGTAGCGTTACCTCTTTCCTATATTTAGTAAAGAATAGACAATACTGGGAAATCATTCTTTCATTCAATCACTTTTGCAATAATACAATCATTACTTGGTAGACGGGTTCGTCATGGTACGAATATGAGTAATATTATAATAAGCTTGCATTGAAATAGCGATGGGCGAGTCGAGTTATTTAACTCGGTTAACTCGAATTACTTCTATAACGAGTCAACTTGAGTTACTTTTTCATAAACTCGAGCTAACTCGGTTGAATCCGCCATATCGAATACTTCATTCATAAAGCGCGTCAGTGACCTTCAAACCCCGCTCGAGTCGCAAGAGACGGGCGAGTCGAGTTATTTAACTTAAGTTACTCCCACAACGAGTCAACTCGAGCTAAACTTTGTGAACTCGAGCTAGCTCGGTCGGTTCTGGAAAGGTATGGGGTGTTATATTAGGCCAACACCAAACGGCCATAAGAAGTTAATTATATAAATATACTCTCAAACAAAAACAATTTTCCTGAGCAATAAAAACGAACGATAATCTATCACGTAATAGTTAGTGTTTCTTGTGCATAATCTGACTTACTTATAAAATCGATACATTATAATCATGGCTCAATACTTAATTACGACGACATTAGGTGTAGATTTTTTACTTTATCGATTGTTTAAATAAATCATTATACACATACATAAATCAATATACTTTGATTTTTTTCAGTGCAACACTAGCAACGTTTGCCCAAGGAATACAATGAGATAACATAATGGGAGTTGCATTAGGTGGAAGCAAGACGCATATATGAATTGAAACAATTGATGGGTGTTGTCAATTGTTTTACTGCAAATTGACCAGTTTAACTTGAACTATGCTATAATGTACGAAAATTGAAAAATTACATATTTAATTACCAGTGAAATGTGATTCCGTTTGTTTTGTAATTAGATGGTTTGCTGTTTTTCTCACACCACCGAATTATTGTCGTTATTACAATAAATACAGAATATTTTCTGGAATATACGGAGAAGTATACACAGGTCAATAGTTGGCCTGTCTCGCAAACTAATTGTAAGAGATACTAGCCTGTTTATACTATATTTCAGTGCAAACGAGAGTTGATATTTATAAGAGCTGTATCGCTAATGTGTTACCAGAAATATATGGCCCTTATTTCGTCTCTATTTCTGGTTATATGCTCGATGCGAAAAGCCAATAGAGGTGGGTGATAAATAATGTCACGATGAAAAAATCACCATGATCCGCCGTCAAACAGTATCACCGTGACTCGTTCCGCAGGAACGACGTTCCAAAATCCCATAAGTGTTCCTCCGTTCCAATAGCTATCCCTGTCACTCACATCGCGACATACGTATTACAATTTACATACAATGCGCGATCTCCGTTCCGTGGTGACTGGACGCCACTCGTTGTAGTTCTCTTCAAATCGGACCATTTCGGCGATGGGAGTGAGTGAGATAGGATGACTTTCTTTGCTCACTCACAAGGGTCGTAAGTGCTTATTACTACTAGAAAGGGCAGATGAAAAAAATCTGCAGCAGTTACTAAAAACCTATTTATTAACAAAATAAAATATTTTTGTATATTTGTTTTATTATGGGAAGAGTTGATATTTTATATTTATGTATAATCTACTTTGTGTAATCTACTGGAAATATTATATACTTTACACTTTATTGCTATTTTTAACAATCCAAAGGTTCGCATTAAATAAGTAACAAACAAAATTACATTAAATACAAAATCAACTTTTTGAATGGAATTGAAACTTATTACAAAGGGAGTAAAAACTTAAATCATTCTATAAAAATCGGCTATAAGTATTAGAAAGAAGCTGGCTAAAACCGTATATCGTGATGTAAGTTATAGGCGTGACAAGGGCACGGAAGTAACAGTCGTGACAATTTTGGAACCGGAAAGACCGTCACGGCGATAGAAATGTAACGCTATTCCCCATGTCTAAAAGCCAAGGGAAATAAGAAAAATCCATCAAGGGTCACAATCGTCACAATATTAATAGGTCTAATCGAATCAAGAGAACACCAAACTTGACATTTTGTACCGTCTTTATCATGAGCGTCATAGAGTTGAATTTAGTGTCAACCCTAAAGTCGGTGCTGATTTTATCAGTATCAGTCAGTTGCCGCACAGATTATATACTAGTCAGAGTTTGGAGTTGCCGGCCGGCAAGTGAAGCTGCTAGACGTATAATAATATAATTATTGAAAATGTTGAGGAACTTAAGTAAACTAGTTCAATCGCAAAAGGCCAAATTGGCGACTGCTGCGCCGGCTCCTCAGTCAAAGCCTGAGATTCTATACACAGGAGTGAGTATTATGTACCTATTCTTTGATTTCAACGTCCTACAGCTGCTACTGCTTAAATTGAATAGGTAGGTAGTTTCATTTGTGTGTCTACATACCTATCGTTCGGGTTATCAAGTCTATATTTAGGAGGCGTCTAATAAATGCGTGCAAAAGAAGTTTTGTTAGGGAAGTAGGCAACTTATTTATTGTATTCGTTATTTAAATCGTATTGTATCTTTGTTTAAATCAACGATATTTATGTAGTAGCGTTAATTTAAATATACTATTTTCGTCCTAGCTTTTCATCAACAATGAGTGGGTAAAGTCATTGGATGGGAAGACATTCCGAACAGAGAACCCAGCGACTGGCCAAGTGATTGCAGACGTCCAACATGCTGGTAAGGCTGACGTGGACCGTGCTGTACAAGCTGCTAAGGAAGCCTTTAAGTGAGTTTTACTTTATATCAACATATTCTTATGTTTTTGAACAACTGCACAATCTGTTAATACTGTACAATTTACTATAGACAAATTGTGATCATTTCCATCCTATCTGTTCCTTGAGGTACTAAAACATCATTTAAAATGTTCAAATAACAGTTGCAATTGAATATAGTCGTCAGGATGCACCTGAATGGATATCAAAGCAGATGAAGTTGTGGAATCCATTTTTGATTTTTCAACCAGTGGCTGTGTCTCTGATAAGATGTTCCTAAATACTCAACCTAGTAGGTGTCCACGGCAAAACAATGCAGTAAAACATGGTGCTATTGTTGGCCTTTATTCAATAAGTTAACATGTGACATAAAAATGTAACTTTGATTTAAGCTTAACACAATATTATCTTTTCTTTAGACTTGGCTCACCATGGCGAACAATGGATGCGTCGGAGCGCGGCCGACTGATCAACAGACTGGCTGATCTTATCGAGAGAGACAAAGCTTACTTGGCTGTGAGTAATATGTTTTACCGCCACTGATCCGAAAGTTACGAGGTAAAGCGACTTAACACTGTGTAAGTGTCCCTGTGGCTCTGGCACATGGTGAGGAGATGGAACACTGTCAGGTTTTAGTCTGTAGGAGAACCCTTCGCCTCCCCGGGCGGAGGGTATCCATTGGGATTTCCTGATGTAAAGAGGTTAGTTTCATGAGCCCAGATATCAAATAAGTAATTCACTAAAAACAATGAATAAACCAATTTTTTATAACTTTAAATATTACTACCATTTGTTTCAATGACAATGTTGGGAATACCATGTTAAAAGGGTGTGGTTTATTATGAAAATAGTCCTATATTATAAAGAAAAAAGATCCAAAGTGTCAAGCTTAAAGCTCTCTTGACTGTAGTGTAGGTACCTATGTGTAGCTATGTATTTGGTGACATTCATTCATGAGTGCTATCTGTGCAAATATTGTTCCATAATGTGATAGATTATAGAATAAGTATCTAATCAAGTATGATGACGAATACAGCATATCATTTTGATAATTATAACAATATTTTTATGATGTATTATGAAAATACTTGTACTCAATATAAGTGCAATACAACAGAAATGATGTAAAAGTAAATATTATCATGGAGAACTGAGAATAAAAAGCCTCTGTATTATGCTAATGAATGTGAGCATGTGCAATGCTTAGTTGTTGGCAATGTCCATTCAATTTTGACTACAGCTGTACTTATAGCTATCTACAATATTATTGATATAATTATTTGTCCTGTGATACTATATCTATAGACATCTGCTACAATGTGACATTTAGTAAATAATAATCAAATATACTTTGCTCCTGCAAATTTTATATTTTATATAGGTTCTTTAGGTCCCTATAGTTCCTAGTAGGCCTTCCTCTTTTGAATGGAACAGTTGAAAAGAAAATCAACTATTCCATAATATATTCATACTATACCTATTCGATCCAAATGTATGAAAGAGCTAGTACCTATGTAAATTATTATGTAATTAAGACTGGGTTTTAAAACATTTTTCAAGCAAATTACCTATATTATAATTATAATAAGTATATATTATAATATTAATAATATTAATTACCATATTATAATTATATTATAATTAGTACCCTGCCAACCAAGAGTTCTTTTAACATAAAACTTATTTCATGGACGCTTTGAGTATTTGTTTTCCATTGTTTATGTTAAACATCTTTGTATGTATTATGCAACAAAACCAACCTTGTGGTTTGGTCTTGACTTTGAATCGACAATGTTTTATCATTTTTATTAGCAAAAGTATAAAACCACAAAAGTACCAATTTTTTCTTTTTTTTTATAATAATAACGTGCACACTCAACATAGCCCCGCACTAGGCAAACCCTGCGTCGCGGGTGCCATGGACACACACATAGACAACCACAAATTACACCCAAACTTACGAGAGAAATAAATGTAGGCCATACAAATATTTCTCCCGGCTCGTGAATCGTACCTGGGACCTCTGCGTGGCAGTCCGGCATGGTAACCATTCGGCCACGGAAGCAGTTATTTAAAGTTGAATCTTACATAATTAATACATTTTATATATTATAAAATGTATTAATTATGTAAGATTGATCGATGGATCGAACTAACAGCGCCTTTATGGGCTTTGATTTTGCAATTGTTTTTATTTTGCAACTTTTGGTACGGTTCAAAAGTTGGAAAATCAATACAATTACGTACTTATGTGACTAATCAATGTTACTTCCCGTTGTTACTTCTCATACGTTATAACTTGGGTAACCTCTATAGCGTCACTCAGGGCGAGAAGATACCATGCTCGATTCCTGGTAATTAAGAAACAAACTTCTCTAAGGGTTGCTTCTACAGAGTAACCATGTAGGGTGAAAGACAGCACAGTGACATTAGTATTCTGTTTTTTCGGTTTTGTTAACAATATATCGAGCAGCTTGTTACAAATTGGCCATGAATCACACAGACAAGTTGGCAAACATCTCAATGTCAAAGGTACTAGGTACTAGGTACTAGGTAATGCTTCTCAGGTACGGAACTGTATTCTACAGCCAAAGAGTTCCATTTTCAAATGTTGTAATTACTTTTGAAATATTGTCTATGTAAGTGGCCAGTTCCAGTAATTTATAGTACGCCGTATACGTATATGTAGGGCATGACGAACTACAGACTGGGTTTCAAATTACACAATTAGGTCCCAGGAATAAGTAATTCTCTGGCACATTTATTATAAATTTTTAATATTTGCCTTTCCAGAGTTTGGAAACTCTGGACAACGGCAAGCCATACCTAGCAGCGTATCATGGCGATGTAAATGGCGTGATCAAAAATCTACGTTACTACGCTGGTTGGGCCGACAAAAATCATGGGATGACGCTCCCAACTGATGGGAAATACTTCGCTTATACGAGACATGAGCCTGTTGGTAAGCCACGCTCCTTAGGTTTGCGCAACTTACTCCCGGTGAAAGTCAAACGTATTGATAAGCGTTAAGTAGCAATTTACCGCGTAAAGGTTCAGCAAATTAAATTCAGATGACAAAAATTAACCGCCCGTTTTCAAATCGTGTGTCTAGAAATTCATACATTTTACTTCTACATACACTCGTTCGATGTACGCGCGGTACCGCCGCGTTCAGAGGAAATACTTCAAAACTCGCACATATGCGCCAGCCATTCTCACATTCGGTGTCCTCGGCTTAGTTACTGTACCCATTTCGGTGTCCTCAGCTTAGTTACCGTACCCATTTCGGTGTCGTCAACCTAATTACAGTAACCAATAACCAGTAATCATCGTTTCCATAAAATCTTTGTCTTAATAACTCGAAAACTATTTTGTCTATTCTAATGAGATTTAGACATATTGATAGTTAAGCTTAAATTTGTTCATATTTCAATGTTATTGGGTATATTAAGCGAAAAAAAAGCAATGACTACGGTAATTAGGTTGAGGACACAGAAATGGCTAAAGTGAGAACACTGAATGTGAGAATGGCCGGTGCATCTGACAGTGTACCGAGAAGATGCAGATATATAGGTATTCGTGATAGTTACCTACAGCAATTATTATTTTTTTATTATTACGGAACCAAATTAAAAAAAATTGCTATAAGTTGTTTGTTATCTTATCACGATTACATTATATCATCAACGGAATCATGGTTGCAAAACTGTGTGATGTGTACAATACACCGGTATCCTATATTTATTTACCGTATAATCTCACTTTATTTGCTGTAGACCAATAACCATTTATTACCTAACCAAAAGCAAATATGTAGTTTGATATTAGAATTAGCGATAATATTTGTAAAGAATACTTTTACTATAACTACATAATATATTGTGATACATGATATGCATGCCTCGTAATTTTGATAGCAACAATAAAGTAGCTCGTCATAGTTTATCGACTTTTCAACGCTATCAATATTATTCACCTATTATTTGATGGCAAACAACACAAAGTATTATTATCTAATAAAGTGCAAGCTTCGTAACTATTACATTGTTACAGAAGTTCACAATTGCATTGTTAACCTTATGTCTTTTACTTTACATTCCACCAGAGAACAAAAAGGAAAGTGAATGGACACTCACCTAGCTTTAGATACCGCAACACGCCCCGCACATTGGCGGTCACATTGACTGAACGACAACAAGGCTGTCGGCGAGCCGTTTTCGCGCTAAGACGGATTTGATATTTGAATATAGTTTTCGTTTATTCATTATGAAATTTGTACGTTAATATAGTATCGTAAATTGTGCGGTGTACGGCTGTTTTTGTTTATCATCATCTAAACGGAATAAAGAGAGGAGTTTCTTTCGTGTCCCGAAAGAAGAAAGTAAAAAAAACTTATGTCTGGGACTCGTTCAGTTACTGTTTTCTTCATTTATGTAGTGCAGAGTAATATATAATACAAATTTATTATATGAATATAATGAGATGCCTTAGCTTCGTGAGCTAGTAGACAAGGGGTTCTCGAATTTTCAAATTGTATTGCCGATAAATATTACGTAGTGAATATACCAATTATTAACTAGGTAATGATAAACTTGGACAGGCAATTTCAAATACCTTGGTTACCTAATTTAAAAGTACCTGTCCAAAATATAATATTTAAAGCGCTTTTAATATATTTTTTAAATAAATCTTCAGTATTATTCTAGTCAGTGAATTAATGAAAAATATAATATTATATCGATATAAATACATAATGAACATGTGTCATTATTAGGATAACTTAATACTCGTTTCCGTAAAACACGAATGACTCTGAGGTTTGCCTATTAGAAACTAGTACATTACTTATTGACAAAAAAGAGCTATCAGCTAAAAAGGTAACAAATAATTAAGAAACTGAAAACGTATATACTTAAACTAAAAATTAATTCATGCTATACTATAGTGAAATCGCATTATTTTGTTACTGTTCCAAAATTAAATATAATGGCCATTTTACTTTCTTATTATAACTGCCAAGCAATTAAAATTATTGAAAGTATTTTCAACTTAGTAGTATCTTATTATCATATTGATAGTGATGCACGATAAAAAAAACCCAATGTCCATTCATCATGGTAATATCGATAACATCTATCATGACAATGTGTAAATATCTATGCAATTTTCGTGGCCATGAAAATATCGTGCCCCATATGTCTTGATGTACCTACAGGGAACAGGTACATTATTTTACATTATTACATTATTTTTAAAGTAGGTACATTATTATTTAAGGTTACATTATAGGAAATTTAATGGGAGAAGTTCTTACACTATGCTGAATACTGTCGGGGAAAGGAATTAGATGGTTTTGCGTTGGGTTCCAGGCCACTCTGATATCAAGGGTAATTGGGCAGTTGATTAGCTGGCAAAAGCTGGTGCTAGGAAGGCCTTTATTGGTCCCGAATCTTATATAGGGATAGCTTGCAGCCTGGCAAATGTTCCTCTGCTGAGCCAGAGCACGCACGTCTCTTGAGACGTCTGTTGGGGTCTCGAGCAAAAGCCCTGATAGCTGCTTACAGTTCAAAACACTGTTAAGAAGTTGTAACACAAACAGAAATGGCATCAAAATGTAGACCAGAGCCTTAAAAAGGGTGTTGTGACTTGACGCGCACACCAAATATTTGGCAGAGTGAAAATAGACAGTTTTTTTTATAATACCAAGTGGCGGCACGAACAAGTCGTGCGCCTGGTGGTAAACGACACGTCTATCCATAACAGTTGCAGTGCCACTCAGAGCTTTAAATCGCAAAGATCTCAGGTCTGCGCCCGTCACTCTGAGACTAATACTAAGTTGACAAGTCCTACGTGCCTCTAATTCACCAGCACCTTTCATTACTGCCTGGCGGCAGAAATAGGTAAAGGTCTGTCCTTTCAAAGACATTACGATATTTTTAACCGATTTCAAAAAAAGGAGGAGGTTCACAATTCGACTGTATGTTTTTTTGTATGTACGTTACGTTACTTACGTTTGTGGGCCGATTTTGATGATTATTTTTCTGTTGGTGGTCCCATTTAAATTTGAACAAAATATTCCACCTCTAAGGGTGGCAAGCAAGGGGATTAATGACTTTTGAGGTCGGTTTTTTAGTACTTTGTACTGAGATTATATTAAATCAGTTTATCCGTTGAACTAGCTAAAATTGATTGAAAATCGCAAATTTGTTTTGCAATTTTATTTTGTCATTAAAATTGGTACAAAAGTACAGAAAACACAACGCATTAGAGTGCTAACCTCAGACGTAGTGTCAGTGAAACAAATTATTAATATTCAACGACTCCAAAAACAAATAAATTCAGATTTACTCGAAATGTAGATCAGGCAACACGTAAGGAAACTCTATCGAAAAATCAATTACAATCATTATGTATGTACATACGCGCTAGCAAAATTCATTCAGTAATACAACAATAACGGATTAATATTATGAATGGAGTAATGAATGGTTCATTATATCTCAAAGATAAGTCATACTATATAGATATAGAAATAAAATGTACAAACACTGTTTTAGTATAGAATGAGAATATTTAATAAATATACAAGCAAAATCAGCGTAATTGACATTTTTTTATAAGTAAAAAAAAGCTTTAGGTGCCACTATCTCGAAAGTTACCGAAATGCAACTGCGTTAGTTATGTGTGACAAAGATGGCAAAAATGGTCTGCTTATATAAAACGCCCACATCGTTTAATTATTAAATTGCTGTTCGTCCACTACCACTCATGAAATGTCAATAATACAATGTGTACACAGGTTCTTAAAATATATCAATAATGCAATATTTTCTTGATGTCATGACGCGTGTATGTCATATATTATGTGTATGTTTATTTTTAATGTTAACAATCTTCATAAGCTTATGCATTGTCCCACAAAACTATGCAATTTACGTTCGAATTATTAGAGTAACCGTTCCGAAATATGGGGGAAAAATAATCTCTCGTTGTAAGAAACCTGTAATTATGCAGGGTGTAAAAAGACGCAAAAATAATTGCTGGCAAACAGCTTTTATTCTTAGGTATTAAAAAACAGTTTTTTTAGAAATTTGAATTAAATGTCTGTTTGAAGGAAAGTTTAGTAATAACATTTCAAAACAGATTTCGTAAAAAACTGGAAAAATTTTCACTTTGACCCTCAATATCTCCTTAACTATCAGGTTCCCAGACATGACCTCTCATACAAGACAATACTAGTAACGATAGGAAGAATACGTAGTTCTCGTTTTCGTTAAGGGTCTATTTATACCCTGTTCAGTAACAACAAAACTGAAACTAAATAATATATAAGATTTATTTATTGAGATTTTTTTGTGAAATAACTACTAATTTTGTTATGATTATGAATACAAAGATCGAACAATCAGATTTTTTTCCACTCCTTGGGCGTGGTCACACCGGGTCGAGGAAAACCATTTTTCTATGTGTTCGATTTTTCTATTCGTAATCATAAAGATATTTACATGTGACCGGTTAAGCCGATTAGAGGGGGTTGTCAATCTCGTATCGTTGGTCCTCGTTACGTTAATATATAAATTTCGTTTAAAAATGTCGATTACGTTTGTTATTGCAAGACAAATTAGCGTTCTTTATGATTTTCATTATCAACCCATCACGGCTTCAGTTGATGATAATTTTAGGGTGTGTAAAAGACAGCTAAAGCAACCACTAGTGTTAAAATCACGAAATAATACGGCGAATTATTGAAGTAAAAATATAAAAACTGAAAATTACTAAAATCAAATAACTTCTTTCTAATTTGAAAAAGAATTGTGGTTTTTTAAAATCTTTATTCAGACAAAAATGACTCAATTTTCATATTCCCATTTGTATTAGTTTACACTATAGAAATCTAGTAGAATAAAATAAAACACAATAAAATGCACAATAAAATTCGACTTTATAAACACTGTAATGTATTCATTCTGTCTGCTGCTGTCTCTAATTAGAGGCTTTAGGCCAGACGTAGGCTCGGATTCCATTCCTATTTTGTGGATATTCCAAGAATTGGCACGGGGCGTTTCGCTTCTACATTTGTTTGGCGAACGCTTATGGATTGGAATTTACTGCCTGCAGACTTGTTCCCTGAACGGTGTATCTTGGGTCTTTTCAATGCGAGAGTGAATAGGCATTATTTAGGTGTGCATGCTCCATCGTCGACCTCATCGTTACTTGCCATCAGGTGAGATAAAGGTCAAATGCGCACTTATTTTTTAATATAAAAAAGGCCATAATCTGGCTCAATTTGAGGACTTCACACGTCTGCGCAGAATTACTTGGACCTATTCTGTCATAAATGTTTCATCATTTCATTGTTTCACTGCTCACGTCATACCAACGTCCTCACTATAACAATCCTATTTCGACTTCTCCTACGTAAGATATCGTTACCAAGTTTACAAGGGAGCGTTTTAAAGTTCTGAATTCTCTGAACACGTAACTTTAGCATTTCTCAGTTTTATTCGGCAAAGCTCGTTACTCACATAGGGCATTATAAAATCCTAGATATCGATTAGACGAACAAACACAATTTATTTTATAATTTTATACTGTCACCCAACTTGCACAGTTTCACTTTAGTTTACCCGCTTGTTGACCCACATCTGCATTAGGATAAAATTATAAGATAAATTATGCTTGTTTGTTGTTTGATTTTATAAATACTTTATGTTAGTTACGAGCTTTGCCGAATAAAACTGAGAAATGATAAAGTCACGTGTTTTGCTCATTTCAGAGAATTCGAAACTTGAAAACGCTCCCTTGTAAACTTGGCAATTTCGACGTACGATACTTTACGTAGGAGGGGTCGATTTATTGTTTTAAATTTATTTCGTGACTTTTGATGGAAAACCTTCAGTCAAATGATTAAAATTAACATAGTAATATAAAACAGGAATGGTAATAATAGTAGTAGAACAAAATACAATTTTTTTCTATTGTATTTACGACGAATTTAAAAAATATTGACTATGTTGCCAGGTGTATGCGGACAAATTATCCCTTGGAACTTCCCTCTGCTTATGGCGTCGTGGAAGTTGGGCCCAGCATTGGCAGCAGGCAATACCTTGGTGCTCAAACCTGCTGAACAGACCCCACTGACGGCGCTGTACGTTGCACAGCTCGTCAAGGTATGACTTTTCAAATTGTTCCCCCTTTACGTCGACTCTTTAGAGACGTCTCACTTTTATTATGTTTACGTGCAGTCTATAATAATATATCTCGCTTTTATTCTCTTTAGATCGAATGCTATAAGTACAGCTGAAAAGAAAATTCAAATCCAGTTTAGTGATTATTATTTGATTTAGCACTTTACGTAAATAATGAAAATTTATGTGTCGTAAAACTTTGTATTTTGTAAGTTTTTTAGAGTAGAACGCTTGTGGTGATCATATTATATTATGAATGTGATATTATTTCTTTTGTTTCTATATATTATGCTATTATAGGAAAATGATTATTTACACATTCCTTATGAAGAAATTATTTATATATAAATTGCGAAGGACAGTCATTAGTTATTTTTATTGGGCATCAATGCCAAATAAAATAATTCCTTTAATCATTATTCAATGTTTTGAATTTTCTGTTCTACTGTACTCATTGACCTACACTGCACTTAACGAAGACTACGTAAAGGGAATAGAAACGTTAAACGTTAGGAACGATTATCTCAAAATAAGCTTTTACAACAAGACGTAGTAAACAATTGTAGTTTTCCCAGCACACAATTAGCGCCTGATTTGTGGATTGATGTGATGTGATGTGTTTAATAATTTACCAAATGACATTAAATTACTACAAAGACGTACTTTTAAACTACAATTGACAAGATGGCTTTTGACACATTGCTTCTATAGTAATAAAGAATATTTCGAATTTACAAATGCTAATTAACATTATATTAAAATGCAATTAACTATACATATATACACAAGACTTAATAAATTCCATAACATTTGCACACCTGCTTGCAGGTTGAATACATTGCACCTAAATTAATTTAAGATCTGTATATTTTTACTGTATTCTGCCAAATAAACCTATTCTATTCTATTCTATCCGTAGGTGGAGGCATGGAGACCTATAGCACAGGGTATCCTAGTTTAAGCTGGTTTACAACATAATATTGTGGTATTGTTGTAGAGTTGTGTGTGAAGGAAATAAACTATATAATAGGGGTTAAAGTATGAAATTGCCGATTTGTACTGAAAATCTAAATTGTTTATTTTTTAAATTTTTAACAAGTTTATTTAATCAAAATAGTTGCCATTATTATCTATACATTGCTGCCATCTAATGGGAAGGTTATTAATGCCTTTGCGATAGAACTCCGACGATCTAGACTGCACAAACTGTGTGAAAGCATTTTGTACTGCCTCCTGGGAAGAAAACTTCTTGTCACGTAGATAATTGTCCAAATCACGAAAAAAATGGTAGTCCGTTGGAGCAAGGTCTGGTGAATACGGAGGATGACGAATGGTTTCTAACTGCAGTTCCTGAAGGGTCAAAATGGTTTCTCGTGCTGTGTGAGGTCTCGCGTTGTCGTGGAGCAATAATGGTGAAGATCGATTCATGAGTCGGGGCTGTTTTACTGCTAGTTTTGTCAACATGGTTCGGAGTTCGGCACAATAGACATCTGCCGTTATTGCTTGACCAGATCGGAGAAAACTATAGTGAATAACACCATGCTGAGACCACCAAACAGTTACCATTACCTTTTTATTGGTAAGTTTTGCTTTAGGACACTGTTGTGGCATTTGACCTGGGGTCAGCCATTGCATTTTTCCGGTTATCATAAAGAATCCACTTTTCATCACATGTTACAATTCGATCCAATATTCCTTCATTTCTGTACCGGTTCAACAAGGCAACACAAGTTTCAACACGCGTTTCTTTCTGCAGATCAGTCAAATCATGAGGCACCCATTTTTCGTATTTTTTTTATTTTATTGATTTGACGCAAGTGAGTCAATATTGTGGGTAAGGTAACGTTAAACCATGCCGCTAATTCCTGGGTAGTTTGACTAGGATCGGCTTCCACTATCTCTCTTAATTAATCGTTATTCACCTGTGTGGGCGGTCTTCCTCGTGACTCGTTCTTTAAGTCGAAATTTCCATCACGAAAGCGTTTAAACCAAAATCGCACGGTGCGTTCATTAGTAGACCCCTCTCCAAACGCAGCATTGATATTGCGGGCTGTTTCTGCTGCGTTAGTTCCGCGTCGGAACTCGTATTCAAAAATCACTTGAATTTTCGCAGTATCCATCTTTCTTGTCTAAATTGAATAACAAAAACAATTGAAAGTCGATATTCAAATGTTTCAAATTTAAAAAAAAAAAATCACAGAAACCATTTGAAAAAAGTTTCATTCGAAAACCTCAAACCATGAAGATTCTATGAAAATTCAAAGAACCTATTGCAATAAAACGGCAATTTCATACTTTAACCCCTAATATTATAATGTTATGGTTCCAAAATTTCGCTTTCATTAAGCCATCC